AGAAACACAGCTTTCCTATCATCAAATATCACGCACGCTACTGGAATAATGGACATATACAGAGAGTAGTAGACAATAGAAATAGAAAAATTAATTCATAAAGAAATTGGCGATTTTTAGAGTATTGAATTTAATTCAATGATACGTAAAAAGCTTACGAAAATAGCTCTTATAATGTTCTAATTGCGTTTTAATCTTGAACAATACAACAAAAATAAACACAGAATTAAAATGAAAATTAATGTTTATATATAATGTATATGTTACTGTGAATGACCGATAGCTGGTAAATGTCAACATTCTCTGGTGAATGTCAGCATTCACACTATCGTTTTGTGTATGTACAAATATTTGCTAAATATCATTATTTCTCACTTACACAGGCAAATGTTGACATTCAGCATGCACTGATGGTGAATGTTAAATAAACATATTTTTATTACGTTAAGACAAAAATGCAACTTTTTAATATGTCAAAATAGGAAAAAGCTTAATTAAGTAACATCACATGTAAATAAACTGTTGAACCTATAACAAACAGCACTTTCTAAATCATTAAAGAAAATAATACAATAATAAACTTACACATAAATCATGTGATTAACGTTATACAATCTTATTTATTGCAACACCTTAAACTGTTATGGCACTTTGAATTGCACAAGAGTCCCTTGCTTTTACAACTGCATTTATTCGTGGAACACTTCTTTTTGCAATGACAGCGTGTATAGCCTTTCCCTCCACTATTCGAATTAGCTGCAGCTGCTTCTCTCGACGATATTTCTTGTGAAGAAATATCACTTACGAAAAGTAAAGTAACTTTTTTTTACAAATTACGAATTGATTACGGGTATAAAGCTGCTTGAGGGTACCATTTTTGTTTGCGAATATATAAAGTTGAAGTCTTCTATTCCAACAACAACCGCCAACACATTTTGGGCATCTGTACGGCCACGGTCGACATCAGGGACTTGTATTCGTACGGTGTCACCAATTTCAGCAGAAGGAAATTTTCTTTTTTGAGGTTCTTAACATTTTCTTTGCTCGCAGTAGAAGATTCTCTTTTGCAGCCGTTCTTATTATAGAAATAACTTCGTGTTGTTCAGTCAGGGATTGATATAAAGATGTGGTGGGTTGCAGCTCCTCTTCAATATTTTCCTTTGGAATATGCTATTTGTTATGGCCACTGCTCAAATTTTCTTCAAAAGTATTAACAATTTCTTCGACCTCCATCAAAGCTTATCTGTGTTTGTCGACATACACCGGCGATTGTTCGAATGTATAATAATATAACCAAATATTCGGTCTTTCACCGACGTATTTTGTATGTGTCGACATTCACCGGAGAATATCGACATTCTCTAATTTCGGTCTTTCACAGTAACATATATATATAGTGTAGCTTAATCATGCTAAATTATTTATGATTGGCCAATAACCACTTCAATAGAAAAAAACGATGTTTTGCTATGTTTCTGAAATGCTGTTTTCGGCTTACTTTCATTTAAATTAAACCTTCATTTCTTTTCTGTAAGTTCCTCTGGGACTATTAGCTAAACCAGGTGGAATTGATTCACTGCAAGGTCGTTACTTCCACTATCTATCTATAATTCATCTAATTATAACGCTTTACAAATAACCGTTATATATCTTAATAACACGATTGATCATATTTAACTTAAAATACGTTCGAATTTCGGTTGCATCTGAAGATGGCCTTTCATACGGGTCAAAAACGTTGATGTTTGTTTAATACACATTTCTAACCATCTGATGATTGATGATTCATTCATTATTTTAGAGCTGAGTATGATATTTAGTTAATTAATATATTTAACTAAATTCTCATTCAAGCGAAATCTGCGAAAACTACCGCATTGCTTTCTTTTTCTTTTTTTTTTTTTTTCTTAATTGTACAGTTTTTATCAAACCATTAAAGACCGACTAATCAATAAATAAGAACGAAATGGTTTGCACTTACGACCGTTTTCAGGCCCCACTCCACGTAGTCTTAGTTCATGTACAGCAAGATGCAGTTTAGACAGTTCTATTGCAAGCAAGAGGTCACTCTTGCTTGAAATAGAACTTTATGTAGTCAATGAATTACTTCAATAGATAGAAATCATTGACCATATAAATGCTGTTTTAGTTCCTGAAAAAGCCAAATTCACAAAGAGGATTTGTAAACTTAATTGTCAAAAAGCTTCAATGCCGTTTCTGCAGCAGTACTCTCATCACACTAGCAATATGTCAAAGAGTATGATCTCATAAGAAAACCGGCGTTTCTTGTTCAAGAGCACGGGCCGTATTCCGGTCACTTATCTCTCGTTTCTTTTTTCACTGACAAATGACGTCAAAGCGAGAGACGAAATTTTACTTTCATAGAGAGTGGTGATACTGGTCGTTCGTAACGATCTCATCTTTGCTGTTGACGTCACGATTCTATTCGTTTGATTATACATGTTTGGGTTAACTGCGCGCGCAACACGGTATAGGATTTTCATCAATGAAATTGTAACATTTTCGAAAATGCGAAGTACGTGATCATAGATCACGTGGCAAGGAAAGCACGTGTTTAAATAAAACACGTAATTTCGACCAACTTGTTTTTTGTTTTATAACATTTTTACAGATTGTAATGTCAATTTGTCTTTTAACAAATAAAAATTTTAATAACCTAAGTTAGAAAAGCGTGCATACTTGGATATTTTTCGAAATATTAACATCTAGTTTTTCCTTAACTATCCAAGTAACATTAACATCATATTCGATAGTTTAGTAATTGATGTAGGATAATTAAAAATTAAAAAAAAATGGAATCAGTGACGTTTTAGAATAGGCACTGGGAAAAAATCAGAAGCATTTTCTCTCTGGAAATATTTTTTCCGAGTTGAGAACGTTCTCTAATACGCTTGTACAGCGCGAGTAGCATCCAGTCGTCCATATTACCGTGTTTCCCCCAAAATAAGACATCCGCAGAAAATACGACCTAGCACAGATTTTACTGAATTGCGAAATATACGACTTCCCCCTGAAAGTAAGAACTAGAGAAGTTTTTCTTTAGTGGTAATGGGTCATCGACAGATGGTTGAATGTGGTCGTTAGCTTTTTGAAAGTACAGCCACTGATTGGTCAGCAGACAATTACGCCACACGGCATGATTTGCATAAGACTATGGCTTGGGAATCACAGATTTGCATAACGTTACGGCTGGTGATGGCTAATTGGTCGGCCAGGAATCATGCCACATGACATTTGCATAGTGCTACGGTTCAGTAAGCACTAATTGGTCATCAAGTCCGATGTTGACGCTATAAAAAGGCTACAGTTCAACACTCGTCTAAGTTCGACTTGGAAATTTTTTTGTTCAATAATAAATGTTAATTCTTCTTCCTGGAAAAAATAAGATATTCCCTGAAAATAAGACCTAGCGCATTTTTCAGAGCAAAAATTAATATAAGACATTGTTATTTTCGGAGAAAAACAATAAATATAACGATATCGAGGCAAAAGACGAATGGCAGGTCGAAAGACAATTACCCGCTCGTCTCTGACAAACGACAGAAGCGAACAGAGAAAATGTTGGCCGGAATCGCGTTTAGAGAGACGCGACCATTTTTCGAGACATAAACAAATGATTAGCCAATCAGGAACTGGCTTGTGAGAAACCACAGAGGAGAGACGATAACCAGAATACGGCCCCAGGGGCCATATTCTGGTCATTGTCTGTGGTCTCTTGTCTTTTGCAAGCCAGTCGGTGATTGGCTAATCCAAATGATTCGCCAATCAGCGACCGGCTTGCGAGAGACCAGAGACAGTGACCAAAATACGGCCTCAGGTCTCTTCAGGCAATCAAATAATAATTGATGTTCATTGAACTTCACGTAGAAGATCGATTTCCGTTAAAACGTACTATTCTATGAAATATATCAAATTAACGTTATTTAATCGAAGAAATAATAGCAAATTTTTGATAAGGTGGAAGGACTCCATTAGACACAACCCCCTAACTTATGCTAAGGTAATGATAATGATAACATTCCTTACATTTTTGGAAAAATAACATTTTATTGCAATCAAGACGTTTCACTTCATAAATTCGTATAAACTAAATGCAAACAAGACACAAGTTCACTGCTTTGATTTTTACTCCGTTACATTGGTGTTCTCATTTTTCTTTTCACTGTTGCTTCTAGTTTTCAAGTACAGAACATCGAATGTATAAATGAAATACAATTTTTACTTTTGTAATATACAATATCGTGTCTAGTGTTTTGTTCTACTATTTTCGCGATTGTATACATTTTATATAAAAGGAAAGTAGTTTTTATCGAACTATCTGCTATATAATCATAGTGTTTGTGTTAATAAGAACAACATATTAATTATTCAAATATCTTAAATACCTTTATTAAACTTACATTGATATAATTTTCATTCTATAGCATATCAAAAAAATACTAAAATAAATTACAAATTTTTTATATCAATATATTATTAACTAAATTTATTTTTACAATTTCATAATGAACTCAGGATATTTTTCTTCTAATTTTCAATTAGAGATTCAGACTATGTACTAAAATTATTTAATTTTTGAGTCTATCAAGTAATCCTTTTTTTCACACACCATAGAAGTAGCCTTTACATTGATTTGAAGAAATCAATTCATAAAAACGAATAACAATAGGTAAAATTTACAATTAAAAGCGATTAGACGTCAGCCTCTCATTTTAGGTATCTGACACCTTCACATTAAAAATGTAGTAAATCTTCTCACCATCTGCCAAGTTTTATACCATCTGTATCAGGTTCAAGCCCTCTAGTGGTAGATACGAGTTATCTTTGATTTGCATATAGTTACAATTTACCTATTGTTATTCGTTTTTATGAAGTAATTTCTTCAAATTAATGTAAAGGCTACTTCTATGGTGTGTGAAAAAAGGGATTAATTGATAGATTCAAAAATTAAATAATTTTTTGTACATAGTCTGAATCTCTAATTAAAAATTAAAAGTAAATTATTTATGTTTGGCCCAATTCATACGATACAGCTAGTATATTGTTAACAACAGTTTAATATACGTAAAATTAAATATGAGAAATGATTAATGTGATAAATGAATAAAATGCAATAAACAACAAAAATAGTATTAATGTAAAGCAAATTTAATATGAAATACAATAAATGAGTAATGTTGAATAAAAGTATAATTGTTTCGATACAGTTTCTAAATTCATTCGCCGAGATTATGTGATATAGGCCAATGTTAATATTGATATATATTTGAAACAAAAATTACCCAAACGTACTATACATATTAGTAAATATCTTACAACATTCGTCTTTTTTCTACACGCATTCTTATACCCGGTATTGGGGTCAACATAACTGCGTATGAAATAACGATTTTGTCCTGAGGATCCAAAGAGTAGACTTTAAAATTACGAAGAACATTTGCCAAAACCATTTTCATTTCAATCATGGCAAGTTTACTTCCTGTAAATAAATTCTTTTAATGACATAATTCTTTCATTTTTGTATTTATTCACTAATCACTTACCGAGACAATTTCGTGGACCGGTAGAAAATGCCAGAAATGCGTAAGGATGAAGCAATTTATAGTTTTCAGGTAGGAAACGGTCTGGATCGAAAACTTCGGGATTTTCGTAAACAGAAGGATTATGATGGATACCATAGATATTTATGAGAAGAGTCGAATTTGCAGGCAANAGGCTTTCGGGGACGATCCTCGAGGCCAAAAAAAGCGCGGCAGGTCCGCAGCAATATCAAAGGTCATGTTGACAGTTTTTTCGACTCTTGTGGGGTGGTGTGTCATGAGTAGCACCACAAGGCCAAACCATCGCAAAGGAGTACTACCAGAAAGTCGTTCGTCGTCTTTTTGATACAGTGCGACGCAAACGACCGGATCTGTGGTCGATCAAAACTTGGCAGCTCCATCGTGATAACGCATACGCCCATTCTGCGCATCTGATTCGAACTTTCGTCGCCAAACACAATACTCCTACTCTCCGTACTTTCCCCACATGGCTCCGTGTGACCTTTGGCTATTTCCCAAGTTGAAAATGCCGCTAAGAGGAACCCGAATTTAGTCGAGAGAAGACATCGTGCGGAATCCAACAAACCGGCTGTTGGCCATCCTAAAAGATGCGTTTCAGCAGTGTTTCCAGCAATGGCAGGAACGCTGGGAGAAGTGTATACATTACCAAGAAGACTACTTTGAAGGGGATTAGGGTTTTGTACCTCAAAGTCAATAAATTTATTTTTGCGGACCAAAGGTCCGATACTTTTTGAACACACCACGTAAAAAATTGCATTCTTTACAATGTATATTTTTAGTAAAATAAATATAATATAATAAATTTGTAAAATTAGGACATGACATGAATAAATACAGCACTTCTTTCCTATTCGTGTGATATCACTTAAAAATCTACAACTACATTACTTGTATCGTCATTGCCACGCATGTACTGGCTAAATTTTACACAATGTTGAATCATCAAAACTGTGTGGAAAAGTACACAATGACATACAACATCCTCGACTTAAAAAATCTATATTTTAGCTTAATAAGGTTACTTCTACCAAAATAGTAGTAGATTATCATCGATTTCAAAATATAGTACTAAGCTAGGATTTACGAAAGTGTTATTTTCAACGTCGTATTCTCGAGACATAGTTAAATACCACAAATTTGCGACATTTCGCATATGCAATTCACATAGTCCTTCATAATATTAACGATGTTATTTCCAGAGAATATTGTTTTTTTCCAATAAGAAAACAGTCCAGGAACGTTCAAATGGCACAAATTGTATCCGGCGTAAGTTTTGGAGAAAAAATGAAATTAGGAAAAAAAAGCCTTATTTTTTTCCGGAAAACAGGCGTTTATACATGGAATCAAAGATAAAAAAATAATATTAATAGAAAAGAGTATTGATCGAACTGTTACTTCTTGCGGAAAACGTAATTATTGGAGATTAGGCCTAATTTGCGAAGAAATACAGTACACTACTAACACTTCACTTAGTAGTGTACTGTATATAGATACATATAAGAAATTTGACGTAGACGGAGAGAAATTACAAAATTGCTTCAAAGAAAAAGGTAATTAAAATTTTTAAATAATTCATTATAACAATTCTGTTTATAATTTTAACATGGATAGGAGAACACAATGCTACACATGTACGCCATTGCAAAGGAAGATTCAGTTCCTCAATGAAACTAAAAATTTTTCCCCGACATTCGATATAATTTGAATAATTCTATGAACAAAATGTCTTCGGTCAATGGACGAAATAAGAGATGAACTGTGTAATTAATCGATCGAGAAAGCAAAGTACTCATCGGCCAGCTTAAATTGTCTTGACTTAAGACAATTTACTGCATGTGATAATATAACGACATGGCTATATTTACATTTCCGATTATTCTGGATTATGGGCAGAATTATTTCGAATTATGAAAATTTTTCGGTCATCACCTCAGATATTATTTGCTTTGAATACTTTCAATCGTATTTATAAACGGAAATTGATTAACTAATAGTCAAGAAAATAATTGCAAAACGGATAATTATTACCAGAGAACTGAGTCATATATTTACAAACTACTGTTTTAATAAAGAAATATGAAAACACGCATTCGAAATGGACCAGATATAAAGTCGAAAAAGTAAGATACGACTATCCTTTTTTACCCGACTTTCCCGTCTTAAATAATCTTCGAAATGTTAAAAATTCACCGATAGATGCACATTTTTAATTTGTCAAAATTATACTTTTCCTATATCTGCACAAATAGAGAAAATATATAATAATAAATAGATCAATTGTTTTATATCCGAAATTTTCTTTCAGTGATATTTCACATAATAAAAATATAACAAAATTGACAAAATATATGACAAAATTCAAATTTCAGCACTACAAATTTTTAAATGTTAAGAAATTATACATTAATCCGAAATTACAAATATTATTTACTATAATAATCAATTGCTTTTTTTGGAAAAACATTAGTTTACTTTAAAATAATAGAAATATCACATTAAAATACACGCCTGCACGATTATATACTTATTTTCGTTTAGACCTTCAGTAAATTATACCTACCGCGAAAATGAAACCTTCCATATCTCTTATAACGTCTTCTTCAGACATTAAACCTTGATTTACTTGAAGATTCAACAGTGAATCGATAATACACTGTTTTGTTTTCATTTTTGGATCCTCTGCATTACGTGTTTCATTGTCTAATGAATGTTGCTGCTGCATTTTTTTTACAAAGTTTTCTTTTTTCCTCTTGAATACCTTCGCATTAAATTAATTTATTAATTACTTAAATCGCAACACAAAATTCCATACACAAGTTGAGTTTACCTTTTCGTCGAAACGATGAATTATTTCAATATCTCTCTTGTAATTTCTTCCCATTTTACTCATGAAGAAAACTGGAGAAAACCAGTACATTGGACTCACCATCCATTCAGGAAAATATTTCAGAATTCTAAATTTTTATATAAATTTATTAATATATCAAAAGATAATTAATGCAAATTTAAAACTTGAACAAGAAGTAGAAATAAAGTACTGTCAACTGTTAAATCTACATAAAATTTAAAATTATATTTCGTGTGAAAAACATTATAGAATTTTTTTTTTAAATTAAAATAATTTAAAATCTATAAAATATACTTTAAGTGATTAATTTGTGTAATCATTTTTTCCCTATTTTTGTGGTTATAAAATTTAAGCAAACTTTATAATTATTTGAAGTCATAATTAGTTTATTTCTGAAAGATATAAGAAATAAGTTGCTACACTGTATATTTTCATATGTTAATTGGATATTTGAACGTTAAATTTACGCTATTGTGAGCACGCAAATTTTTAATGGGATCTTAACATTAATGCCAATCGATTTTTTCGAAATGTAAACATCCACGGAAAAAAACGGAGAGTCAGATCGGAGGTCAATGGGAAAGTTGAGACTTCGTTGTCAAGACTGCACTGTCATCGTCAACAACGGACGATCATGTGACCCCTTTCCCACAACGTTTGTATAAAAGCAAAAACTACTGGAAGTTCGAGGCGATCGAAAGGAAGTTGTACTTGAGATAGTGCACATTTAGTCTCCGAGTCCTTGATCCTGTCATGAAGACAACGGACAAGGACAATGACAATGATTCTTCCTACGGACCGATCGTCGCATACAGTTCCTTCACGCATAGAGGTACTTTCGATAGCGATCTGAGAACTCTCTCTCCGCAGCTAACGGGAATAGGCTTAGCTAAGAGCTACTCTTTTTGTATAGATCTTTGTTAGTATTTAATCGCATTTAGCTTCCTATAACCTTTTGTAATTTAGATTTAGTTATGTAATAAATTCTTGTTCTTGTCTGTTAAAAACCTGTCTCCTGTCACTCTGAAACACGGACACTTGCCGACTAGCTCTACTCCTTCGCCACTCGTGTAAAGCCTCCAAAACACAAATTGGGCGAGTTTTACCAACTCGACCTGTAAGTGGCAATTAGGGTACAGACCCTGTGTCCTCGTATTCTCAAACTATCACAAACACTTCTCCTACAGTATTGGAGAAACAGAAGAAAAATACGAATATTAATGAATACTAATTATTTATTATTACAACACAAAATGTAATAAATTTTCACATACTCAAGTACTAATAGTTCACGAAAATAACAATTTTCGTGAACTATTAGTACTTAGTTATATAAATTTTTTTCCCGCTTTCTCTCGATACACGTAATCCTTCTCGAAACTTGTTTTAGTGTTGCCAGATCTCTACGTTACTAATTTTTGTTGCCAGATGTTTTCCCTTATTCCTCACATGCTTTATTCTTTATAAGTGCTTAGCATCATATAAGGAAATTAATGAAGATCTTTTAATTAAAAGCGAGCAATCTAAAATAACATATTTTTTGCAAAAGGTAGAACACGGATCTGAAGATAATGCAGAAATATGCACATAGGATAAGGATATCTTGCCAAAAATAAAACGGCCTCGGTTAATAGTGCTTAGTGATGACAAAGAAAACGTTGTTTAATTTATATTAATATGTATCCCTTAAGAAAATTTTAATATAGATATTTATCTTAATTATGAAAATATAATAGCATGTTTTTTAATTTTTGGAACCTAACCCTCCTTTTCGTACTAGTTCTTTCATTCGAACAACACGGATTCGCATAACACGGCAATTTTTTCGAACGTAACTACCGTGTTATACGGGGGTTACCCGTACAGTACATTATAGCCAATCTTACCCGTTTTCACAAAATGCAAGAATTAGGTCACCCGTTTCCAGACTAATTAGAGAATTTTTACGTCCAGTCAAACGAACTATTTTCAATTTGATCAATTTTCTGGNATATTCTTTCAGTCATTAATAGGGTTTAGTATCACAAAAAATACAAGAATTTTGTAAAATGTATCATTGTTATTTTTTAATAAATTATATTGGCCCAGCTAAAGTGTTTTTTCCTTTCCTTTGGCTCTCTCTTTAAAAAGTTTGCCTATCACTAATCTAGCCTATATCCAAAATTTAATTACACTATTCGTTAGTTAAAAGATCGAAGAATTCATTACGTTGAGTGGGAACTGTGACGCATCGCGCGCAGCTGAGAGAAGCGCCGCCATTTTGAAGTCATTTCGAAATGGTGGTGCTTCCCCCCAGGGCTGTGCGTTAGATTTTCTAAGTATGATGGAAGTCTTTGAAATTCTGCCCCTTAAATGTTTTTTATGTCGCCCGCTCACGGTGCCGCCTGATGTGGCCGCATCTCTGCATCATAGCACGGCGGGGTCCTGCTTCCCCCGTTTCACATACTTCTATTTGTAAGTTTGGAGTACACAAACGCATGTCGGACCCGGAATTTTTGTCAAATCACCAATGTTGAAAAAAAATAATACCTGTGAAAAGAGAGAATTTTAAATTTTAAAATTATACTCGAAAGTATAAGTGTAAAGAAAGCGGCGAATGATGTGAGCCCGCAGATTTTTAAGGGGATCTTAAAATTAATGCTAATCGGTTTTTTCGAGATGTAAACATCCACAGAAAAAAAATCAGATCGGATGTCAGTGGGAAAGTTGACACTTAGTTGTCAAGAATGCACTGTCATTGTCAACAACGGACGATCATGTGACCCCTTTCCCACAACGATTGTATAAAAGCACATACTTTTCGTTTAGTATACATTTTGACTCGAGAAGCTACGACGCTCGTTTCAGTTTAAATTTACAGCTATCGTCAATATTTATCGATTGCATGGACAAACCATTAATGGCAAAGTTATGGTAAATATATATGGTGTTAAATTTAAAAATTAAGAAAATTTAATAGAATGTAGGCCTATGCTCGTCGAAAAGCTAAATCAAAACATAGAAATCGTCTACTGTTGAAAAGGGCTTTTCAAGAGCAATCCAGATATACCCATAAAAACCATATAATAGAGTGAAACAGTGCCAGGAACGTAAAAACAAAAATAGAGATACGAAAGACTTCTTACTGTAAAAGAATGATTATGACATACTTATAGTACGCTAAAAGAAAATAATATCCGTTGACGTACACGTATTCACGTAAAACACACAGCCATGTTTGGACACAGCCACACTCCACTTTTTTTTAAATTCATTTTATACTTTTTTTAAGTTATAAGCAATAACATGGAAAAATAAATACTTATTTAATGTTTACATGTAAACAAATAATTATTTATAATTTTTAAATAAATATTTTACATTAGACTACCTGCAATAATATCGAGAGTGCAATTTTTCATCCATTTTAGGACATCGAATATTTCATTTTCCTGCAATTGTTTGAGTTTTTCCACTAAGACATTTGAATGCTCCATAAATACATTTTGATCATCTTTCACATTTCGAAGATGAAAATGTGGAGCTAAGTATCTTCTTCTTCTTCTCCAGTTATCGTCAGGACTTTATTTAATTAAACTCAGAAAACTGTAAGCAACGATATTTATACCAAATATCAAATAATGCATTACCTGTACAGAAGACTGTTGTCTCCGAGAAGTGGCTTAAAGAAATTGTAAAAAGAATCCTTATTGATTAAACTGTTGCTTCTTAACACTTCCTACAAAACATAATACTGTATATTTCCATTTGTAATGAATATATTACATAACTAGGCATGTTATATTACCTTTGCAGATTCTGGATGTAAGAAAAAAAATAATTTATATCCAAATATGTTTATACAGGCAACTTTCTCGTTTGGAAATACCACAGAGAATCCAGTAAGTGCATTTGAAACTACTGGAAAGATACGAAAAATATTTATGCATTTATAATCAGTCAAATTATCCAACAAAGTATTAATGACATACATATGTTGATTTGCAAATTGTGACATTGCTTGTTACGTTGACAAAATACAATGTTCCACAAGACTGGTAAAAAGGACACTGACGGAAGATTCATTTTCGGCTCCTGACTATTGTCTTTATTTTCAGAAAGATTCGTATCTGTTTTAAAAATAAAAGAAGAGATTATAACGAGCAGAAAATGTTTATCGAGGGGTAGGAGAGGGCAGCTACCCCCTCTAAAAGAAAAATGAAAGTGTAGTAATTGACACACAATGCAAACATAGCAATTTAGTATCGGTTTGAATAGTGAATATTGTGACTAGATTAGATCTTAAAGTCATCTGTCACGATTAACTTAAAACTATTTCGCTGTTCGTGCTATTGTTGCACAACTATGAGTTGCCCCTCTCTAGTTCAGATCGTGGGTACTCCGCTATGTCGACCATTGAAACTTGATTCTTTACAGTACAGTACTCAAAATTTATAAATTTTTTAATTAAAGTTTGGATTTGATTAGAAATGGATAACATTTTAAGCTGCTCTTTGCATTGTTAAAAAGCTGTCGATATTGTCATCATCAAGTCTTTTACGTTGCATAAATGTTAAATTCTATTTCTGACACATTTTCGGACAAGAAATGTAATGTATATTGAAATATTAATTATCAATATTTTTCTTCAATCTGCGTTCAAATAAATGACATTGAAATGTAGAATGAATGATAGAACATCTTATTAATATATTACGAAATTAAAATACACTTAATTTTTTAATAAAAATTAATTAAAACTTAATAATAATAAACGATGCTTTTAATTCTCGATTTTAATTTAGATAGCGTAATAAATAGGACTCTAACAATTTGAGGGGCTTCTCACACCAAGGCCGACCAAAAATAAACCAGATCTTTTACAATCCATACTTGTAGGTAGTCGGGGACAGAGAACCGAGTCAAAATAAAATATAAAATGGCGACTCTCTTTCACAAACTGGCAAAACAGCCACCTCACCCCACCGAAGTCAGGTGGGGGAGAGTACCACCCACAGTTATTCTAAGAAGTGAACTCTGACTTTAGGACTGAACACGTAGTTTCTTCTATGTTAAATAAAATTTGTAATCTAATTTTGTAAATTTAGGAGTGCTTCAAATATGACGTTAAAACGATTTTATGTCGTTACAAGTGGGTTTTTTTAACATTATCTAGTATAGTAAAATAGTAGGACCGGTAAAAATTTGACGTTATATTAGTGTTGTCGTTACATTCGATGACGTTATAATCGGGTTAAACCGTATATTGTTTGTGCAAAATAAAAAAAATAATTTCGAACAATACAACAGCCACGATTACGATTTTCAAAAACGGGAACTTTTCGTTACGCATCGACAAAATTTTAACCCGGGCCGACACGCAACAGAGAGAAATTTTGAAATTAGATAGGTTAATTTCATCGAAGATGCATCGTGGATGACCTCGTGGTCGAGGCAGGCAAAGTTTTAAAGATCGCGCCCAAAAGCAGCGATATCAAAGAAGATAAAACAATGAGAACGAGACATGCCTTGAGCATCAAAGTGATTCCGTCTCCGAGACATAGTCTTGTCCCAAATACAGTTTTGCCGTTTTACTTGTTTGAAAATATTTTTTTTCCACTCAAAAATAAAATATGAATAAAGGTTTACGGCTTTGTGAAACTTCTTTTTTGAGTTTATGCCTTGAATTAAATTAATAAAAAAAGTTTTTTATTTTTCAGTATTTTTTACACGCTTATTGGGCCACATTGGAACTTACCTTGGGCCGCATGCGGTCCGCGGGCCGTGGGTTTGACACCCCTGTACTAGACGTGATTGAAGTTTAACTCTTTTCGCTAGATTTGTTTTGTTAGACTACTGCCTCATTAGAAGACAGGACCTAAAATTCGTGGTTAATGCCAAAGTAGTTCCATCAGACAACATTGCATTTCATCGATTTTCAACTTAAGCTCAAGCTCAGCAACACCTGAAAACCTGAAAAGACGGGACCTGAACGAAGTAAGTGGCACTGCCAACCTGAACATAAAACTCAGTTCAAGGAAGCAGTTGGTTTGAGCATGGCCAACTTCAACAACAATCCCAAACAACCAGTGTTCGTTATCTGGTCCAACCTTGGTCAACACATGACAGTTTCGACCATCCTAGGCAAGACTAAACCTGAAAGGAGATACCTTGACAAATGTATTTGGTGGTGGAATGAAGAAGTGGAAACAGCCGTCGGAAAAAAGAAGAAGGCGTTCAATAGATGGAGGCAATCAGGTGCCGAAGATGACTATGGGCAATTTTGGAACCTCAAGTCCTCAGCAAAGAGCGCAGTTGCATCAGCGAAGTCTGCCTACTACAACCGCCTGTATAAGGACCTTAACACGCCAGAAGAAGCAAATAATTTACCAGCTTCCAGCACCATGCAACCCAAGATATACGCCATATAAAGAACATCAAAAATGACCATGGTCAGATACTCCGTGATCCGTCAGCCATCCTCCAAAGGTGGAGTGAACACTTCACAGCCATCTGCAATGAAAAGTTCCCACATCCTTTAATCCACCGAGCAGACCCAGTACTAGGACCAGTCCCCCTGATATCGCCACAAGAAGTTGGAAAGTCTCTCATGAAAATGAAGAATGGAAAAGCACCCGGACCAGACGATATACCCACTGAAGCACGGAAGGTTCTTGGAGGGCGAGAAGCCCTCACAGCCCTCTTCAACAAGATAATTGAAGACAGAGAAGTGCCACCAATCTGGTCAACTAGCATTACGGTGCCAATTTGTAAAAATAAAGGCAATGTGGCAGATTGTACCAACTACCAACCGATCCGACTCCTGTGCCGTGCCATGAAAATATTTGAGCGAATACTCAACACTCGNAAAAATAAAATATGAATAAAGGTTTACGGCTTTGTGAAACTTCTTTTTTGAGTTTATGCCTTGAATTAAATTAATAAAAAAAGTTTTTTATTTTTCAGTATTGTTTACACGCTTATTGGGCCACATTGGAACTTACCTTGGGCCGCATGCGGCCCGCGGGCCGTGGGTTTGACACCCCTGTACTAGACGTGACCGAAGTTTAACTCTTTTCGCTAGATTTGTTTTGTTAGACTACTGCCTCATTAGAAGACAGGACCTAAAATTTGTGGTTAATGCCAAAGTAGTTCCATCAGACAACATTGCATTTCATCGATTTTCAACTTTTCAACTTAAGCTCAAGCTCAGCAACACCTGAAAATCTGAAAAGACAGGACCTAAACGAAGTAAGTGGCATTGCCAACCTGAACATAAAACTCAGTTCAAGGAAGCAGTTGGTTTGAGCATGGCCAACTTCAACAACAATCCCAAACAACCAGTGTTCGTTATCTGGTCCAGCCTTGGTCAACACATGACAGTTTCGACCATCCTAGGCAAGACTAAACCTGAAAGGAGATACCTTGACAAATATATTTGGTGGTGGAATGAAGAAGTGGAAACAGCCGTCGGAAAAAAAGAAGAAGGCGTTCAATAGATGGAGGCAATCAGGTGCCGAAGATGACTATGGGAGATTTCGGAACCTCAAGTCCTCAGCAAAGAGCGCAGTTGCATCAGCGAAGTCTGCCTACTACAACCGCCTGTATAAGGACCTTGACACGTCAGAAGAAGCAAATAATTTACCAGCTTCCAGCACCATGCAACCCAAGATATACGCCATATAAAGAACATCAAAAATGACCATGGTCAGATACTCCATGATCTGTCAGCCATCCTGCAAAGGTGGAGTGAACACTTCACAGCCATCTGCAATGAAAAGTTCCCACATCCTCTAATCCACCGAGCAGACCCAATACTAGGACCAGTCCCCCTGATATCGCCACAAAAAGTTGGAAAGTCTCTCATGAAAATGAAGAATGGAAAAGCACCCGGACCAGACGATATACCCACTGAAGCACGGAAGGTTCTTGGAGGGCGAGAAGCCCTCGCAGCCCTCTTCAACAAGATAATTGAAGACAGAGAAGTGCCACCAATTTGGTCAACTAGCATTACGGTGCCAATTTGTAAAAATAAAGGCAATGTAGCAGATTGTACCAACTACCAACCGATCCGACTCCTGTGCCGTGCCATGAAAATATTTGAGCGAATACTCAACACTCGGCTTCGCCAAATTGTCTGTCTGACTCTAAACCAATGTGGATTCATTAAGGGCGTAGAACAACAGATGCAATACATGCTGCTCGATTACTTCACGAACGATACCGGGATAAGAACAAGACTCTCCATATGGCCTTTCTAGACATGAAGAAAGCATTTGACCGTGTTCCACGTGACCTTATTTTGCGCTAACTCAGAGTCCATGGTGTCCGAGAAGCCTACGTTCAATGGACTCAGCTCCTGTACACTGATGTGATGAGTGTGGTCAGATGTCCAGTGGGAATCTCACCCCTGTTCAGCATCAAAGCTGGTGTACACCAGGGATCAGTCCTCTCACCCGTCATTTTCATCTTCTGCATAGAGTGTAGACAGCCAATATTTAACATCTACACCCATGGACCCTACTTTATGCAGATGACATTTTCCTTGCAGCAGAGTCAAGACATTGCGAGTGATCGAAGGTACTTGAACCAAGCGCAAGGCGCTTGGTTCAAATACCTTCGCTCACTCATCAGCAATAATGGTGAAACCACCCTGGATGCAAAGACGCGAGCCAATGCAACCTGGCTAAAGTGGCGGCAATGCACTGGCATCCTCTGTGACCATTGTATGCAGACCCGGCTGAAGGCGAAAGTCTACAAATCCGTTGTTCGCCCAGTGGCCCTATACGGGTTGGAATGCTGGCCATCAAGCACCCGCCACGAACAAAATTTTCCATACCATGGAAATGAAGATTCTTCGCTGGTGCCTTGGCTTTTCCCGACTCAATCACATCCCGAATGAAGACATCCGAAAGATCATGAGAGTGGCCCATATATCTGAACAGATACGGGAAGCAAGACTCAAATGGTATGGCCATGTCATACGTAGTGAGGAACACTCAGTAGCAAAGAGAGCATTATAAGTTAGCCCATCTGGACGACAACCCCGAGGGCGCCCCAAAATGAGGTGGATGGATCGACTGCACGATGACATGAGGAGGGTGAACGTCACTCCGGAAGACGCATTTGCAGAAGCAAATGGAGAAGAGCATGCAAGAAAGGGGACCCTGCATAGAAGCAGGACTTCAACGCTAGGAAGAAGTTCTTTAAATTCCCCATAATTATAGTTAAATATTATTTCAAACGTATTTTTAGAGATAATATTCTTTTTATAAACTGAATCATAATAAACTAGAATTAAAAACTAAAAATAAATTGAAAAGTTTTTTAAATATGTAAACAAAATTTCAGATGAGAATATGTAACTTTAAAAATCATACATCAGACTCTTATAGAAAAACAGTTTACAGA